TTTTTTTCTAGCTTTTGTTTAGGTCACGGTTTCCCCGAGTTCTTTTTTCTTCCCCCCCCCTATACTATAATTTTTGTTTCTTTAGGCAATGCAAAATTTAGAGTAAAACAAAGGGAACATTAAAAGAACTTGTTTAATCTTCAACTCACATCCTCATTTAATATTCTCTTTCTTCTTCCTCTTCTTCTTTAAATAAAGCTTCCATAGCTTAAAAATCAAGCTCAAAGACCCTTTTCATATCCCTAAAACCCTTTCTTCTCTCTTTCTCTTCAAGATTTTTCCTACTAGAGAGGAGAATATATTCTCTTCCCAATACAAGGGAACACAAGAAATCTTTTTATCTTCTTCCTTTTAACTTTTCATCTTCTATATATACGAGCCCAAAATTTTGATTCTTAAATCAAGTTAATTAATGGGATTTTCCAAAAAGCCAACTAGTCATCATCCAATGGATGGAAATATTAAAGAGTCAGAAACCAAAGGATGGATCATTGCAGGAATTACATTAAGGAGTCCATTGAAGCCCATATTCACAACCAAGAATAAGAACAAACATGTTGAAGAAAAAGAAGAAGAAGAGTTTTCGACTACTCCAACGTACGAAGAATCTAGGTTATCATCTTTAACATGTCCACCTGCTCCTAAGAAGAGAAAAACATCTTCAAGGTGTAACTATAATGGTCATGTTAGGGAGTTGTTTCACCCCCCACTAGACTTGGAAACTGTTTTTATACGCAGAGTTGAATTTTGAATAAAGCACTCACTTAGAAGATGATTAAACTGATTTTATTCTAATTATTTTGTTTTCAGTTTAGTCTCTCTTTCTTATTCAAATTAGTACTTACCAGCTAGCTTCTAATCTTGTTTGGTTTCCACGATTTCGTGTATACAAGGTTCTCTATGTATAAATAAATAAGATGTTAATTTCATCTACGTACCATATTTCTGCCTCGTTTCCACTTTACGTTGAATTAGTGTCTTTCAATTACTATTTCGGCCAGTAACTAATAAGAACTTGACGTCCAAAGTGACATCTCTCCTGTTTTCTATTGACGGTTTTATAATTTATAAGTCGTGCCATTACTTAAATAGTCATTCAACTATTAGAAATTATCTTGTAAAGTCATTATGCCTATAACATTCAGAAGGTCACTCAACCTGATTTCTTAAACTTTTGATTGTCAAATACCTATTTTACCCTTTAAATTATCAATTTTTATCTTTTTTTAATACTTTTTAAATCAACATTATGGATTTACCTATAAAATAAATAAATTTTATTTAAAGATAAAAAATTATTTTCTAGCATATATAATATCGGAATAATAATATAATTGAGCATAATTTTCAAGAATATATAATGTGTATTATAAAAATATCTTTATTTAAACAATTATTTTCTATAGTACGTGTATGGACTATATATTTTAAAATTTTTATTTTCTTTCGTTCTCAATTGTGTAAATAAATTTTTGAGATTTTGATGTTAATATCAAAATTTTTATTACAACCAAATTGTTCTAATTAACTTTCTACTATGCTCAATATTTTATTATTCCAACATTATATATGCTTAAATACTATTTTTATTTTTTTAATTTATAAATAATATTTATTTATTCTAAGGTAAGTCCATAATATAAATTAAAAAGAGAAATTTTAATATTAAAAAGCTAAAAAAATAAAAAGAAGATCAAAGTTGATAATTTAGAGGGTAAAATAGGTATTTGGCGATAAAAAGTTTGACAAATTCAGTTGAGTGACCTTCTGGATACTATAGGCATAGTTAAGTGATTTTGCTGTTACAAACGGAAGAAAAAGACTTTGATAGATAATATCGGATAGTTGAGTGACCATGTGAGTAATGAGCTCGTGTTTTAGTACCAAAAAGGAAAACAAAATTTCGACATTTAATACTTATTAACTACATTTGATAAGCTAAATCAAACGAACTGTTTCTTCTTCACTTCGTTTCTGAAATGGTCCATATTATAACAGCAGCTAGTACTATTTCTCCTTGAGCTTGAAAATGAAGGTAGATACATGCACATGCAAGTCAATACATGTTGAAAAAGACGTTATATACACGCGGATAACGTAAAGATTTTTACACTATCATTAATTATACGGAAAATGTCAAAATATGTTCTTGTACTATACGAAATTAAGCACATTTGCCCTTCGTTAATACTTTAGCTCAAAAATGCCCTTACCGTCACATAGTTGTCCATATATGCCCTTAGAGTCACACAGTTGGCCCATATATGACCTTTTCGAAACGGAATCCACTCAAACTAATTAGCTCTTTCGTTAATTGTATTAAAGTGTATTACAAACACTATTTCCTTTTTATTAATACTTGTGTTTCTTTACCTTTCTCTTTTTTTTTCTTCTTTTTTCTTTTCTTCTCTTTTTTTCCCCTTTTTCTTTCTCCCTTTTCCGATTTCCTCCATTGCTGATGTCTTCTCCATTTTCGTCACCAATTTCACTTCACAAAACTCATGAATTCCACTTACTAAGAAAATTCTCCCATAAGGTAATCAAGTTCCAATTTCACTCGCCCTCTAAATAAACGAAATTAAATTATTCCAAAAATTATGGTTTAAACTTTAAAATAATAAAAACATCTCAACCTTTAACAATACTCAAAAAAACAAAATATTTAAATTATTTTCAGAAGGATAATTTAATGATTAAAAGCCCAAAGTTCAAGTTCTAGTGTTATAAATTTGAGTTGTTAGTCTTTTTTCATCTTTTTTCAGCTGGATATTTTTTATTTTTTTATTAACTATGTAAATTAGGGGCGTACATGGAACGGGTTGGTCCGATTTTTATCAAAATCAAACCAAACCAATTATATCGGTTTGGATTGTTCGGTTTTGTTGAATTTTTCGGATTTTTTGTTGCATAAATATTATTTCAATCTTACTTTGTTAAATTTTTTAGAACTAAATATATGTTCAATAAAAATTAAAAAATTGACAAACATATGATCTATAAAAATATTATTATGGGAGAATTTTCTTAGTAATTGGAATTCATGAGTTTTGTCAAGTGAAATTGGTGACGAAAATGGAGAANATAAATATTATTTCAATCTTACTTTGTTAAATTTTTTAGAACTAAATATATGTTCAATAAAAATTAAAAAATTGACAAACATATGATCTATTAAAATATTCTTATGGGAGAAATTTCTTAGTAATTGGAATTCATGAATTTTGTCAAGTAAAATTGGTGATGAAAATGGAGAAGATATCAGCAATGGAGGAAATCGGATAAGGTAGAAAGAAAAAGGAAAAAAAAAGAGAAGAAAAGAAAAAAGAAGAAAGAAAAGAGAAAGGTAATGAAAAAAATACTAATAAAAAGGAAATAGTATTTGTAATACACTTAAATACAATTAACGAAAGAGCTAATTACTTTAGGTGGATTCCGTTTCGAAAATGGCATATATGGGCCAACTGTGTGACTCTAAGGGCATATATGGACCAACTATGTGATGGTGAGAGTATTTTTGAGCTAAAGTACTAACGAAGGGCAAATGTGCTCAATTTCGTATAGTACAAGGGCACATTTGGACATTTTTCGTTAATTATAATTTAACCTATTATAGTATATTAAATACTATTTTTATCAAATTATTAATTAATTCAAACTTATCATCTCATAAGTGAGTTGATTATGTAAATATTCTTTTACAATGATTAAACTCATAGTGTGGAAATTGAAACCCCTTTATATATTCTTTCACTTTCTTTTTCCCACAAGGTATGAGATGCTGGGAACAAAACAATAGATGCTTTAAAGCTGATTGAGTATGACAAACCTCTCACATATACAGTAAATTAGCCTTTGATTTGTACTATCTGTCATTATCTTCTTTAGTCTTTATTTATTATCACACATGCACAACAATGACTGCCATTCACTCAACTAGGGCTCTACTCAGTTTAGGGTAATGGGAAGTTTCTCTGTGGTGCTTTTGCCATAATTAAGTTTGAAACCAAAAGACAAATACATATCAAAGAAGAAAAACAAAATACATATCAAAGTGTATGGGCCATTGGATAAGAATCCTAGGTAAACTTATTTTTAAATGCTAATTCATATTTCTTCCCCCTTCACTCTATATAATTCGTTTTTCATTATGTCATATCACGTCTTTTATAAGGATTAAGTTTTATATATTGATAACGTGAATTAAGATTTTCAAATATTAGCAGTAAATTTTCATATGTAATAAAGAGTAACTTAGTTATCATTTTTATTAATTTTTCTATCTAGTAAATACTTTTTGGTGCGTAAAGCTTAAAATTCTTATAATAAAACTTTTGTGTGGTGATACCACTGATCCACAAAATAAGTTTCTCGAAATCGTGTCACTCGAACTGCTTTTCATAAAGTCGTGTCCTCTCTCTCTCACACCCACTCTCTCTCTATATATCTTCTATAGTGTTGAGCTTTGACATTATATAATCTAATTTTAATGAATTCTTGAAATCTATTCTGCGGATTGTATCACATTTTCATTGTTCTCATTCGAAATTCAGGCTAACGCCGTTTGCAAACAAGATAATTGGAGAGAGAGAGAGATTGATTTTGATTGATTAATTAGAGTTTGGCACCTTTATCTTTTCTAGGCTTAGATATACAATGACCTACTTTAACATACTAAATTAATTATACTGTACTAGCGTCATGTTTTTTGATTGGTTTATGGAATGTTAACCACAAATTGGCAGTAAAATACACCATTAATTAGTTAAATGAGTGGGAATATTGAGACGGATCAAGTTGAGAGCATTAATTCTTTTGATAAAATACTGGTTTATGGACAAGGGGGAGTTCACCTAATATAAGGCTTGTCAATTTGTATACACCAATAAACAAAGAATTCTTGGGATCAGAGACAATGAAGAGGCAATTGTTTTTCAACACGTATTAAGAAAAAATAGTGCTATGTAGTTTATTGTACTTGGCATGTAGTGAGCTCTCCTTATTGGGGTTTAAAGATAAGATTGCGAAATCTTCTGAATTTTGATGCAATTATTGGAGACAAGCACATGAGGGGAACTTCTGATATGCTTGACATTAATTAAATTACTTACATTAATTTTTAATTTATTAACTGAGCATTAATTTTTGAGTCATTCTTCACCTCAATTCATATCTTAAAAGTTCTATTCTCCTTTTATTTGCTAATGCAAAGAAGAAATGCAAGTGGATCAAAATTTTTAGGCTCTTTCTTTTGTTATTGCACTAGTTAGGGGTTTAACTGGAAAATCGCACCAAGCCAATTTAAAAACCCGACTAGGTTTGGTTTGATTTGGTTTGGTATTAAGGAAAAAAAATTGAACCCAACCGACATATAAATATATAATTATATATATATTTTTAAGATTTTATATTGAATTTTCCTTAAAAAATATTGAAATATTTTGGATCCTCTCATGTGTTAACCTTGAAAGTGTACATTAACAAAAATTATTGTTATACGACTAAGAAAATAACTATCATGTGTTACTAAAAAAATTCTCCCATTAGAATATTTTAATAGATCATATGTTTGTCAATTTTTTCAATATTTACTAAACATATATTCACTTTATCAAAACTTTATCTATAACTTTAACAAAGTAAGATTGGAATAATATTTATGTAACAAAAAAAAAACCGAAAATCCGAACCAATCTAAACCGATATAGTTGGTTTGGTTTAGTTTTGAAAAAACCGAACTAACCCGGTCCATGTAGTAATAAGCACACTAAACGCCAAAGTATTTGATTTCGAACTAAAAGTGCTGATTGCAATCAG